ACATGAGAAATGAGGTTTTCATTTCTCCAACTAAAATTTGGGTGATTACTCCAACCCGGATTGTAAGTATTTGAATTGGGAGAAAATGATTGCCTCGTTTGGTTGCAGGCATGGACATGGTACACTTCTTTAAGGGTCAAAATATTTGGGCAATCCAATAGGGAATGCTCCATACATTCGCAAATTGAACAACCCTCATCGGTTCGTGACACATTAGACACCTCGTGTCTCTTATTGACTTCAAGACTCTCAACTTTCTTTGACAATTTAATAATTTTTGAAAACAAGTTTTCCCGGTCTCTCAAATCATAAATCCCCACCCCTTGAGTTTGGCCACTCTTTTGAGGAGAAGACCTTGGTACATCGGTGGGATTTGTAATGTCCCATGATTGTGTATTTTGTGCCAATGTATCAAAGTAATCTATTGCCTCATTAGAGTCTTTGTTTAAAAACTCCTCATTACACATCTTGTCAATGAACTATCGATGACTCGGTGTGATTTCTTCATAAAAGAAACTCACCAATTGTCATGGTTCAAAGTCATGATGTAGAAGGGATTGTAGCAATTCATTGTACCTCTCCCAACATTGATAGAATTACTCATTAATTTTTCGAAAAGTTTTGAATTTGCTTTTTTAGGGTGGTGATTTTATACATCGGAAAGAATTTGTTCAAAAACTCAGAAATCATTTGGCTCCACGATGTGATGGTTCGATGCCTTAAGAAAATAATTCACATTTTTGCCTTGTCTTTCAGGGAAAAGTGAAACAATTTCATTCTAGCTATTTCTTCCATCCTATGATTGGGGAGGAAAGTTGCAACTATTTTTTCAAAATCCCTTATGTGTGAATAGGGGCTTTGAGTTTCAAGTCCATTGAATGTGGAAATTAGTTGCAACATCCCTAGCTTAACTATGAAAAGATAAGCTTGGACCAGAAGGAGGATGCATGATGGTGTGGTGCTTCATGTTGGTTGTAGGAAATCCCTCATTGATCTCATCGGGGGATCCTTTTGAAAATTATTCCCCTCATTCACGGGAGGGGGAAAATTCATTCTCGGATTGGGTATTTGGGGTTCTTGTGGTCCTCCACCCCTTTGGACATTTGGATTTGCACCTATATTATCAAAATTATCACCCGCATCCTCGAGTTGTTCTTGGTCAATATTCATGGTAGGGGCCAAGTTTTGTCTAACAAGTCGGTTTCGTTCGTTCCGCCTCCACATAAAACAAAATATATACAAACAAAATTATACACATACAAGATTATGTACATGAAACAACGTACCTCAACCCATGATGAAGATCATGGGATTTACTTCCATTGTCTGGAACTCACCTTCTTGATTTGACACTTGTCTTCCCTAGCAACGACGCCAAAAAATGCTTGAGAAAATTCTTTGTTGTTCCTAACCTCTAAATATCACCTTTTAGCATGTATAGTATATGAATAAAGGGGAGTGTCACTCTCCTAGAAATGATGTCAAAAGAAAGGGCAACGAAATGGTGGATGAATGAAATGTCAAATGTGAGTATGTGTGAACAAAAGTGCTCCCCAAGCGCAAGGAGACTTTCACAGATCGTGTTTTACTTGATAGTATTCCAAGGTCGTTTCCACGGGGAAGGAAATAAACCGAGGGGAAGGTGATTTTGGGAGAAAGAAAGTGTAAAATCTTTGATTGTTGGAAGTTGTTTGGTGAAGTTGTTTTGATGCTAGTAAAATGAGAAACAAATGTTGGCAAATTCAAGAAGTCACTCCAATAGGAATACCGTCTCAACTCGAAACCATTCTCCAATAGAGCATGAATGAACGATTGATTCGTAGAAAGCTAGAGATAAGATTGATGAGTATCTAAACATAAACTTTGACTAGGCCTACAGAATATCAAAGACTCACCAAGTTATCCACCCTCAACCCAGTCAAACCGAACCATTGAATTTTGAAAGAGGGGAGGAGAATGAGTTAAAATGGAATACCCAAGTGGAGGTTCCTCTTGGTTTTGTCAACTAAGAGATTTAACTATTCATGCTTAAAATAAAGACAACAATATGATGAGAAGATATTATGAAGAAATAAAAACTAGAGCTAAGCATAAACGAAATGCATAAATATAACTTCTGAATAATCACCTCTTACTAAAGATTGGATGAGAAACTACTCACTCTTCATGACTTTGTTAAAGCTAGAAAAGTGAGTGATGCTCATCCCTCTAAGTAGAGAAATTACAAGGTAAAACTCTTTACACAAGGAGCTGATCTTCGACAAAGAATGAGTGAATCATGTTCTACCCTTCACGGCTTTGGTAAAACTCTAGAAAAATGAAAGAGTTTCACTCCTCTAAGGGAAGAAGGAAGCTCAAACAATGGAAGTAAAAGAAAGCAATAACACAATAAAATAAAACAATACTTAAAGTAAAAAAAAGTAATAAATTAAAAGGAAGCAATATTACAATAAAAGAAAACAATACTTAAAGAAAGCAATAACGCAATAATACTTTTGGAGGATTTTCCACTACCAAAAGATGAATACTTTACAAGTCCTAAGGATTAGTATTTATAGGCAACAAGGAAGGGTGAAAGTCTTGTTAGGTGGCTTTGAATTACAAGAAAGTCTTGTTTGATGACCTTGAATATTTTGATCCCCCTTTGTTTTGAGTTTTGATAATTGGCACTCTAGTAGTTTGTAGCTTTGAAGCACAAAACCCTGAAAAGAACAATGATTAATGTATTATCCTTTATTCACACACTAATTCTAATTTGATTTATTTTGACTAGTTTAACTTTATTCAACTAACACAATTTACCTATTAAATTATGCCTTAATTAGGGTTAATAATGCACAAAAATTTGCTTTGACCGTCATCAATTGCTTATGACTTTGAAGATGTTTTGGATGATTCATAAATTTATAAACTAGATTCAACTTTTTATACTTTTATAGTTATTTTTTTATTATTAGTTGATGAGTTATTCATTTTTTATTTTTTTTCTTACTCTTTTTTATCTCAAAAATAATTTCAAAGAAAATTGCAATTGCTCTTGAGTGAAGAGAGGTGAATGACACTAGCAAGAAATGTGTTATTTATATATATATATATATATATATTAGTAATTATAAGAGTATTTGTATGATATAATTTATAACATTGTTAATGTTGTGGATGTTTGAGTTGTTAAAACATGAATTTGTTTTTGGTGCATGTTACATGATTTGTGGTGAACTAGTAATTTATTAGAGCAGTTATGATTTTTGATGTGTTTCATATGGTTTACATTTAAAATAGTTGTTATTGTATTTGTGCAACAATTATGCCTTGAGTTTTTTTGTGTTTTATTGTAATTGTTGTTGTAATTGTTTTAAGTTTTAGTGGTATTAGTTTATTTTGTTGTTAAATTGGTACATGTTATTTAATTGAATTGTTAAAGTTATCCAAAAACCAATGACTACAAAAGTGTTCACCCGATTTTCTATTTGATTAATTTGGACGAAAGTCGGGTAGGAATACCACACTTGATCGGATAGGGTAGGTAAAAAAAAATTCTTCTGCAAAATATTAGGTAGAAAGATATAAGACCATATTTTCTACCCATAAGGTAAGGTCAACACTTCTAGATTTGATACTTCCCACGTCCCCTAAGGCCTATCTACCTTGTTTATCTGGAAACATGTTCTTAAATTAGGAAAATTTGGAAGTCGGTCCCCATATGTGGACTTGTTTGGACTTAAGTCCGTTAAGAAAACTTATTTGCTATGAAGTTTATTTTTTGTCAATTTTACCACACTATCCATTCTCTTTCGAAGTGAAATAAAATTAAAAATTAAAAACTCCTAAATCTTAAGAGTTTGACTAACATTAAAATCTTTTCTCTCTCATATATATCTACATTCATATATATGTTAAGAGTTTGATTAACATTAATTTTTTTTTTCTCTCTTATCTATCTATATGTAGGTATATATATATATATATAGTAACATTAAAAATAATTTGGACACAAAAAATAATACATTTAAACAAAAAAAAAATAGTAACATTTAAACATTAAAAAAATTGAAACATTCAATATTAATATTTTTAAAAAATAACAACAATAACATATTCAACAAAAATAATAACATGCATAACAAAAACTATAACATACTTAACAATAATTATTTCTCTTAAATTCAAACGCAAAAAATAGTACCATTTAAATACAAAAAATAGTATCATTCAAATACAAAAAATAGTAATATTAAAAAAAATAAATAGTAACATTGAATATTAATATTTAGGAAAATAATAGTAGTAACATGATCAACAAAAACAGTAATATACTCAAAAATAATAATACGTGAACATTAACATACTCAATAAAAATAGTAACGTGAACAGTAACATAATAAAAAAAAATAGTAACATGAATTTGAATTTTACTATTCAAATTCATAATAACTTTTTTTTTTTTTGTATTTGAATGTTACAATTTTTTTTAATGTTACTATATATATACATACCTAACCTATATATGAATATAGATAGATAAGAGAGAGGAAAAATTTTAATGTTAGTCAAACTTTTAACCTATATATGGATATAGATAGATATAAGAGATAAAAAATTAACTTTCTTTCTAGAAAGGGTATTTTTGAGATAAAAAAAATAAATTTAAGTCATTACATATAATTTTAAACATAAACTTAGTCCCTTATAAATTTTCTTGTAGGACTTATCTCAAAATAAATACATTTAAGGGATTCACTTCTAATTTTCACCTTAAATTAATTTGAGTTGCAATGGTTGACCGAGAATTTGAGAAAGTAATTGATACAAATTTGAACATGTAACCACAAAAAAAAAAAAAAAAAACCTATATATATTTACCAATACCAAATTAGCTCATTCGCGAGATGACCGGTGACAGGCTGCTTTTATTATAGCAGGAGATGCACGTGACCGCCAATTCTCTCTCCTACGGTGCGTTAAGTTCTCTATTCAAAAAACCCTAACCCTCGGCCACACCCAAATCTCCACACTAACGTATTCTCACAATAATCCAAAAATGCCTTCTCGTATGCTTTCCGGCGAAGACACTGACTCCGATGATGGCTTCGAGGTGGACATGGAAGCCCTAAGGAGTGCTTGGTTTCTCAACGGCAAAAACCCTACGGACCTCCAACAATCCTCCACTTCTCATCACCACCGCGGCGCCTCCTCTGACCTCGATTCCGACGACTCCGAAGAGGAAGATGACCTCGAATTAGTCCGTGATATACAGCGAAGGTTTGCTATTTCGACTGATTTGCAGCAGCCTCTCACTTTGAAGCCCCTATGTTCGCTTCCGCCGGTTGGGTCGGATGATGATTATGAGGATGATTTTGAAACCCTACGTGCAATTCAACGTCGTTTTGAAGCCTACAATAGCTGTGATAACGGTAAATTGGTTTATTTAATGTTTCCTAGTACATTGCATTTACAATTTTTAATACTTATCTTTGAGTTGTCTTGTTATTGATGGACTTTGTCTTCGTATTGGTTCTTAAGAGTGTGGCTCTGAATATAATTCATTTTATATTGGTGCTTGGTATAAGAAGAAGTATTTACAGCAAATTATATGTGTTTCGATGGATGTGTGAATTTCTGAATAGTTAAATAGTTGGAAAAATTATTGTGACATTGGATATATTGAGATTCTGAAAATACTTATAAGCAAGCGCATATCATGGAAATTGCCGAAATTCAGTTCCATTCTTAGATATATAAAGGCAGATGAAGCATATTTGTCTTGAGTTCAACTTTTGTATTGCAATCTCTATTATAGTTGGCTTGTTTTGAAGTCTTTTTCGTTAAACATCCTCCTCTGATGCGTGCGCCTTGACAATGTGGCCATTTATAAGTAGTAATGTTTTAAATTTTTTTATATGCAATGCAGATAATAAGAATAGCTTGGAGGATTATTCACAAAAAACTGAGCAGGTTGGTGCCGCTAATATAGCCTCAGAAAAGGAATCTTCCAATAATTTGTTTGTAGACAAAACTAATAATGCGGAAGGGTTTCCCAATTCTGTAGATGCAGTATAACCACCACAGAGAGTCTGGAATCATTCGGTGACAACATTGATGGGACCACCCAGCCATCTGATCTCATTGAGTGGCATGGATCAGGTGCTAAAAATGCAGCAACATTGCCAGTCAAAGATTCCAGCTTCCCAAGATCTGCACAGGCATTTCTTGATGCCATCAAGAAGAATAGGTCTTTTCAGAAATTTATTCGATGTAAGTTAATGCAGATTGAAGCGAGGATCGAGGAGATCAAACAATTGAAGGAGCGTGTTAAAATCTTGAAAGATTTTCAAGCTAGCTGCAAAAAAAGAACTGGAAGAGCTTTATCACAGAAGAAGGATGCCCGTGTCCAGTTAATTTCAGTGCGAAAGCCAGGGGTTAATGCAAAGGTCAGTGTATCAATTACTATTACTATTACTATTATATCATATATTTGTTTTGAAGTATTTTGTATGGTTCTTTGTATGTTCAACTGTTTTCTGGTATTATGTTTCTAAATCATTGTTTGATTACCTTGTACATGAAAAAATATACTTTTAATGGGTTGGAGTATTGTTGAGCCAATACTGTGCAAACCAGGTTTTTATTGAATTGATTATCAAAACCTGCATATTGACTCAAGCTTACCGTAAAGCACAAAAACAACTAGTAATATACCTCTGAATGTTGGTGGCATGAGCTGAAACATGTTATGGTTCTATATATAAATACAAAATTTTGAGATCGATCTATCAAACAAAATGGATACAAAATTTGTTTAAATTTTCTCATTTCCTATACCCCCATCCCTATTATTCTTCATGGTAAATGGCAAGAAGATGACTTTGAAGTTAGTTATAATTTCATAATAGCTGTTGGAGGTATTGTTTGATTGTTCATCCTCGATATACTGAAGTAGAGATTACTATTGCATTTGAAAAGATATGTTTGATCCTAATCCTTTGCCCATTGTAATTAAGCGATCTTCTAACTAGTTAGTAAACCTGAACTTGTATCAGTTTTCATTGTAAGTGGGTTATCTTGTTGCCCTTGTGCACACTGTTTTATGTGGGAAATGTCAAATACTTGTAAACAAGTATTAAATTTCTTATATTTGGATTTTGAAATCAATGGAATCTGGCATTCTCTGTAGGATTCTGGTTTCTCCGATGACTCCTCTGGGGGAAAGTAACCATCAGTTATTACTTCTTTTCCCGATAATCAGCTCAGTAGGCTCCATTATTGTCCTCTACCGGAGGCTTAACTTTTGTTTTCTGATCACCACCATCAAAGTTTATGTTATAGCTTAATTTTGTTTCAATTATTTGCCCAAGTTTTTGGATTTTATTACCCATCCTTATAACTGATCATTTTGCTTTGGTTTTTTTTATTGGTCTAGCAAATGGCATATGAATTTATGGGAGTTCTCACATTGATATTAGCTGTATGGTGCCTCTACATTTTTGCAATCACTGGTTTCCTATTGACATTTGAGGACACTTTTTTGTTCGTGTAGGTCAATGAGAAGAAAGTCCCTGCTCTGTATTATGGCCCTGCTGAGAATTCCCATGTTGCCAATTACAGAATGGCACTAACCAGATTTCCTCTATCATTGAATCGGGAAAGGTGGACAAAGGAGGAAAAGGAAAATCTGGCAAAAGGAATTAAACAACAGTTTCAAGAAATGTTGCTTCAAAAATCAGTTGATCTACTTAGGTATGTGCCTTCTTGTTCTGTCATGATATAAATTAATACATCAACTCGAATATTTGCTTCTTATGCCTTGATCTAACTTACATATGTTTGTGTATTTGTTTGTTCTTATATAAGTAAAAGTTGCATAGGAAGGCATCAAAAGTGGGGCACAACCCAGGCATACACCATGCATAGAAAAGGAGTACCAATAGACAATGGATACCCTTTATTGAGCCAAAAGAAAAGCATACTCAAGAAAAAAAAATCTATGCCTATGTGAGGTAGTTTGACCCTCTTGAAGGGGCCTGATGGAACGCATTTTAATCCGAATCCGATTTGAATTCGAGTCCATTTCCATTTAACTGAATATGGATTAATATTTTAATATGTTTACTTGAGTCCGATTAAGTTTCTTTAAATTGATTCGGATTTGAATACATGTAAATTCGATTCAATAAAAATTGTTAAGAGTATTAAGGTAGTATATATAAATTGCTAATAGTGTTATGATATTATGTGTAAATACAAGAGGGTGTGTATATGTAATTCTTATGATTATGAGTTACTGATAAATATAAGTGATGTATGAGGGTTAAGTTTAGTTTTTGAACCCCTCTCTTTCTTTCTAATATTGTCTCTAATATTGTGTTATGTTAATTCTCTCTACTTAACATGGTATCAGAGTAAGGTTATTTTTAAATACAAATATTAATCCTGACGTTGTTATTGTCGGTGTGGTGTTGCTGTCATTGGTATAGTCGACTCAATCTGGTTTTTTGCTTCTTGGTGGACCAGTCGACTAGTGGCGTTTATCTTCGTGGTGGTGTAGTCGATCTTGGTGGAACAGTCGACTGGTGGTGTCGTTGGTGGCGTCTATCTTCGTGGTGGAGTCGTTTGCCTCTTAGTGGTATTCGGTGTTTTGGTGGTGTTCGGTGTTGTAGTGTGGTGGTGTTCAACAGTGAAGGAATAGGGTTTGGTACAAACCCTAACTAGTGAAGGAGAAGACCTTGTTCAAGTGGGTCAGTGTACGGGTTTGGGTAAAGGATCCAAGTCCAGATCCAGACTCAGAACCAGACCATGGTCCAAGATCCAGACCAGACTGGTCTTGGTCCGGTTCAGTGCTCCAACGTGTCTCTCTGGTCCGGTTCAGTCCTCAAGTGGGCTTCTCTAGTCCGGTTTAGCAATCCAACCAGCCTATTCTTCCCGGTTCAGTGGTCTGACAAACCCAACTAGCCTGGTTCAGTCTTCTAGTAGCCTTCTTTTCTCTGGTTCAGCATTGCAGCACTCCTTGTTTCATATTTGCTGCATTGTAATAGAACCCAAGCAAGATACCAGGTCTCTTACTCTGTCTTTGCCACCCCCCATTTTTATCAATGGTCCCATTACCTCTGTTAAACTCAATGTGGCAAATTATACTTTATGGTCCCGATCCGCTCAAATATTTCTTTAAGGTAAAGGATTTAAGAAATATTTGGTGGATCCTAAACCTAAAGAAGATACTCCTGAGTATGATCAGTGGGAACAAGAGGACGCTCAAATTATGTCTTTACTACTGAATAGCATTGAACCTAGTATTAGTTCTACTCTACTCTACCTTGACATTGCCAAGGAGATATGGGATTACTTGGTCACTATGTATTCTGGTACAAGTAATTTTACCCGTATATATGAGGTGTGCAAAGAGTATTTCTGGTTGGAGCAGGGTACTCTAAGCCTTGTGGATTATTACTTTCATGTTCGGGGAGTTTGTGAGGAGATGAAAACCTACCATCCGTTTACTACTGATGCAGCAGTTTGACAAAAATAACATGAGGACTTGAATGGTGTTAGGTTTTTGGTAGGATTGAAACTTAAATATAAGGCTATTCGTTTTCAGATTTTAGGTGGTTCTAGTCTTCCATCACTGCTTGAGGTTTTCTCTCATTTACAGCGTGTTACACTGTCTACTCCTTCAAGTATTGATCGTGGTGTCTTCACTGATCGCTCAGCTCTTGTGGTTCCTAGTAGCCCTAGTGATGGTCATCGCAATGGACGTTGTGGTCGAGGAGGTCATATAGGAGGTCGTACGGGTGGTCGTGGGAGTCGTAGTGGATCCTGTTCTTGTACTCACTGTAGTCGTAGAGGACACACTATTGACTTTTGTTGGGATTTACATGAAAAACCTTTTGGTACTGCTAATCAGGCTTCTTATCAAAATGACACCTCGGTTGTTGCTTCCATACCTCGGTCAGCTCCACCAGACATTGGGTCAGTTACTATTACACTGGGTCAAGAGTAGTATGCCCAGTTCTTGTCCCATCAACAGTCTGTTCCATCTCCCACAACTGCTACTTTTGTCCAATTAGGTACTGCTTCCACTTGTGTATTGTCCTCCTTCCGCAGTCCTAGGATTATAAACTCTGGCGCTTGTAACCACATGACTGGTACGTCTGATATTTTTTTTACTTATCAGTCTGTTATTTTCACACGTAGTGTTACTTTTGCTAATGGTACTTGTTCTAAAGTTTCAGGTCTGGGGATTACTCACTTGAGTCCTGATATATCCCCATCATCGGTGTTATTTCTTCCTCAGTTTTCTTTTAGTTTACTTTCCATTAGTAAGATTACCAGTTCTTTCGATTGTTCTGTAACATTTTATCCCTCTTATTGTGTTTTTTAGGATCTTAAGACGAAGAGGAAGGTTGGTACGGGACATGAAGTCGGTGGCTTATATTACTTTGATTTTGATTCCACTACTCGGGTTCTACAGACCTCGTTTACTCCTTTTCAATAGCATTGTCGTCTTGGACATCCCTCTCCAGAATCTGAAGCACCAAGTTCCCAGTCTTAGTTGTGTGTCGCCTTTGTCTTGTGAAACTTTTCAACTTAGTAAGCATCACCGTGTGTCATTTCAGTCTAGAGTCAATAATCGTGTGTCTAGTCCATTTGAATTAGTACATTCTGATGTATGGGGTCCAATAATGTAATAAATATCTTTATTTTGTGTCTTTTGTGGATGACTATTTTCGTGTGACTTGGTTGTTTTTGATGAAAGTTCGGTCTGAATTATTATCTATATTTGAGACCTTTCGTAAAGAAATAAAAACTTAGTATGGTTGTCGTATACGTATTTTACGTTCTGATAATGCTCGGGAATATGAATCTGATCCTTTTTCAGCTTATCTAAGTAAAACTAACATTATTATTAGACTTCTTGTACTTACACATCTCCATAGAATGGTGTTGTTGAACGCAAGAACTGTCATTTGTTGGAGGTCACCCGTGCCCTATTATTTTCGATGAATATTCTCTAATATTTTTTGAGTGATGCTGTTCTTACTACTTGTCACCTTATTAATCATATGCCATTCTCTGTGTTAGATGGGAAAAGTCCTATATTCTGTCCTTTTTCCTAATAAGCCTTTATTTTTCATATCTCTTAAAGTTTTTGAATGTGTCTGTTATGTTCACAATTTGGGTCCTTAGTTTGATAAATTTGATCCTCGAGCTACCAAATGTGTGTTTCTTGGTTATTCCCGCACACAAAAAGGGTATCGTTGCTACAATCCTTCTTTGCGAAAATACTTTACTAGTGTCGATATCACATTTGAGGAATTTGTTCCATATTTTTCAGTACCTTCTCAGCCTTTGGATTTGGACTTTGGGTCACCTCTTGTACCACCATCTTTTCCCTCATCTTCAGATATTGCGCTGCCTACTATGTTACCGTCTACTTTACCTCTTCGTATTTATTCTCGTCGTCCTTGACCATCGACTGAGGTGTCTGTATCGTCTTCCTTGTCGCTTTCTGATCCTAGTTCATCAGGTAATTTAGACTCTTTACCTTATGCTCTTCAAAAAGGTACTCGTTCGTGTGTTACTAATCATCCTATTGCTTATTTTGTTTCCTATGATGCCTTATCTCCTGTCTTTTTTTGTTTTACCTCTCAATTATACTATATCTATCCCTAAGCATTTACAGGATGCATTATCTGATCCGGGTTAGAGGAAAGCTATGGAGGATGAGATAGATGCCTTACATCATAATGAGACCTGGTATCTTGTTTCTTTACTCCCTGGTAAACGAACTGTTGGTTGTCGTTGGGTGTATACTGTTAAATTTCAGCCGGATGGTTCTGTGGAGCATCTCAAAGCCTGACTTGTTGCAAAGGGCTTTATTTAGACCTATGGTGTTGATTATGAGGAGACTTTTTCTCCTGTTGCCAAAATTTTCTCTGTTCGTATCTTGATTTCTTTAGCTGCTAATCTTGATTGGTCCTTGTTTCAGTTAGACGTCAAGAATGCCTTCCTACATGGTGACTTGGTTGAAGAGGTATACATAGAGCAGCCACCTGGGTTTACTGCTTAGGGGGAGTATGGTAAGAGTGTATGTCGGTAAAGAAATTTTTGTATGGTTTGAAACAGTCACCGAGGGCATGGTTTGGTAAGTTTTCAGATGCTCTTTTAGAGTTTGGTTTCCTTCGATGCCAAACAGACCATTCTGTGTTCCATAGACAGACGGATGCTAGATATGTTCTATTGGTGGTCTATGTTTATGATATTGTGATTACTCAAAATAATTTTGAGGGGATTGTCAAGTTAAAATTTTTTTTGCAAAATCGATTTCATATTAAGGATTTGGGAAAATTTAGGTATTTCTTGGGAATTGAAGTGACTCGATCTAAACAGGATATTTGTTTATCACAGAGGAAATATGTACTTGACATGCTAGAGGAAGCAAATTTGTTGGGGGGCAGACCGATTGATGCTCTTATGGATTTGAATTAGAAATTATTGATGGATGATAGTGCACTGTTTGAGAATTCGGATCGGTATTGCAGATTGGTTGGGAAGCTTAATTATCTAACTATTACTGGACCCGATATTTCCTATGCAGTCAGTATAGTAAGTCAGTTCATGGGGTGTCCTAGAGTACCACATTGGGAGGTAGTCACTCGTATTCTACGATATCTTAAACGAGTTTCTAGACGTGGAATGTTATATCGAGCTAATGGACATCTTAAAGTGGAAGGTTTCTCAGATGTTGATTGGGCTGACTCTCCTTCTGATCGG